GGCTGCTATACTCCAACTATAGTCGGCTGACTGGAGAACTGTTGATAACACACTCGCTCGTCGACTACTTAACTCAGCGATGTCCACATTATAACTGACTCGGCGAATGTTACTTGATAACTCGGTGGCTGTCACAGTACAACTGAAGTCGCCGACTGCTACAGTAGAACTCTCTGGTAGCTGCTGTGCAGCTCACTTATATAGCTGCAGTGCTTGCCTGTTGCGTAATGAGTGCCACGTCACAGTAGGAAGTTGATTACGGGTACATAGCATTGCGCGTTACGTCACCGCGGAGGGGAGTGGCGGGGCGGGAACTCGCCTATTACCGTAGATAAGCGAGCGTTACGTTACCACCACGTACCGCTGGGGAGGTAGGGGTGATCCATAGCTCAACATGTCACAATATGTACATTAACAGGTGAATACCATAACTGGTTGAGTGACTGGGCTATGGGCTCCATAACCGGGTAACTCCTTATGTCGGGGTAAAGCAGCCAAGGCACACAGCTGACCATTCCTGTCCATCCACTGCCAAAGTTAACAACAGTGCAGCTACACCTTCACTTGGTGAGTTACTTAACGCTTTCAGTATAAAGACTATATTGCATCAAATTGGGGGGACGAGTGATGAATGATAAGCTGGAAATGATTCGGATGGAACGAGATGTGGCCTATCATTGTATTCATTTAGGGGGACCGAGGGAAAACGACAAGCTAGTGTCCGGGCTGAGATCTGATGCTAGGAACTCCTGAACACAATTCTAAAGCCTTATTTATTGACCAGTGTGTTCAGCTTCATTGTGTGGCACTTAAGTAATCAGGCACAGGGACATATACCTTACCCTACATATGTAGATGAAAAGAAGCAAGAACTTGCCTGGTGAGGCAGACACACTTGGTGCAGGAGGTAAGCCGGGTTGGCCAGGGTTCATAAATCCACCATGAGGCTGCGAGACTCCCNTTTCATTGCGTTGCACTTAAGTAATCAGGCACAGGGACAATTACAGAGTGATTCAGAATGATGGACACAATTTCAATTGACTATATTTCCTGAACTGTATGTTGCATTTGAATTCTGTAAAGTACATTTGAAAGAGGATGTTACAAAGTTTCTAGTACTACCGCTAGTGCCCTCCATCACTGCGTCAGTTGTAAGCGAGATTGCTACTGTGCAACACAAGATTTTTTGCATTCGTGAGTTCAGTAAAATTGAGTCTGCGACTGCGGTGCAGCATGCATTTCGTCATAAGTTTAACATCCAACGTCCAACGAGGAAGAGCATTTTTCATTGGAATAAACAATTTGATTAAACTGGCTCTCTGTGTAAGGGTAAAATCCTGGGCCGATCGCGTGTATCGGAGGAGAACGTGGAGTGCATTCGAGTGAACACTGAGCGCAGCCCAATGAAGTCAACCCGTAGTGCTAGTAGAGAACTTGGACTATCGCAAACAACTGTGTGGCGTGACACACCTCTTCCCACAAATTTGAATGACCTAAGAAACTGTATCACAGCTGCAGTGAACTCAGTGACGCAAGATATTTGTCATCAAGTGTAGGATGAATTCAGCTACCGTCTAGATGTTATCCGTGCAGCCAGAGGAGGGGGGGCACATTGAACATCTATAAACTTCCATGTATGTATAATCAAGTGTAATTTACAGAATTCAAATGCAACATATAATTCAGGAAATATAGCCAATTGAAATTGTGTCCATCTTTCTGAATCACCCTGTATACCTTACCCTACATATGTAGATGAAAATAAGCAAGAACTTGCCTGGTGAGGCAGACACACTTGGTGCAGGAGATAAGCTGGGTTGGCCAGGGTTCATAAATCCACCATGAGGCTGCAAGACTCCCGATAGTACTGGGGCCGGAGAGAAGGGCTTGGGTGGCACTGCTGTGGGGACAAATGGCTGTTGGACACTAGGTTTGGTGGCAGAATTTGCAGGGTATAAATTTGGTACAGTTTGACTAATGAATGGTTTGGCTGCTGTCTGTGATTGCTGAGTGGGGAACAGTGAAGAAGTTGGAACTGCAGGACCACTGAAACCTTGTCTGTATGGTGCTGGAGCTGACTGCGCCTGCAACCAAGTAAAAAAAAACATACAACATGAAGATCTGGCAAAAACTCATGTAAGAAAGCTACATTCAATTTCTCGGTAACCATATTAACCCATCCCAATATAGCTGTATACACACAAAACTACTCAAGAGCTGCAAGAGAAATTTTACTTTCTCAATCTCAAAATGTGTGATACTTTACCTGTATCTTGGCACTTCTTAATTTTACACCATCAACATGGAATTGTGTGCACTGCACACTACACTACTGCCATCTGTTGTTGGGAGTGTGCTGTGCATTACATATAAACAACTACTCCTGCTCTGTGCTACCATATCATGAAACAGTATTTGAAGCAGACAAATTCTGCTTGCTCATCCTTCGAGATGAAGGTCCAGTGTACGGCATGGTGTCAGTACTGACTGGGTTTATTGATTTTTTATTGAATAAACAGTACTAGAAACTGGTAGATTTTCAATCAGCTCTTAGTAAACTCAGTGTCAACTAGTTAATGTTTACTGAATGCAAATACTGAACATATTTTGAATTAATCTTTTCTTATTCTGAAGATTCTCATAATGAGGAAATAAGAGTTATGACCTAGTTTCAGAGCCAGTGTTATTAAAAAGTAAAAAGAAGTAAAGCTATCCTTGTAACAGGCCATGAAGGCCCATAGGGTTGTGAGACGTTGAGGGTCCCACATTATCTAGACAATCGGATCAAAGATGGTGGTAAAGTTGTCAGCCTTACACACCGGCCGCGCTTCACTACCCAGGAAAATTATTTAATAAATTCCTGGTACTCATTTCTGTGAGAGGCTCAATCGACCCTAGGGCCGCAGTGCAGCTGGAAGGGTTAGGTCAATTGAAAAAATCCAGTGACCTCATCGGGACTTGAACCGCGACCTTCCGGCTTGTAACACAGCCCCTGAACGAACTACGCTACCGCGTGCCCTGAGCCAGTGTTATTATGAATGCCTAAATTATATCTCCCATGCAAAAATGTTAAACAGTACTATGGACAGGCTCCATGAAAGATGTACGGAAACACAGTTTGCATGGCCAAACAGCGACAAATACTAGGTGTGAAAATAATGTTTTCAGTTCGAAATGAGACCAAAACGATAACTGGGAAAAATCTGAAGAATGAAGACAAGAAAAAGAATTTTCTCTACAAGACAAACTTTCTTCCAATAACGACAATTTATAACACCAGTTACTTTTTAGTGCATTTTGTCAACAACTTTATAGATGCCAGCATTTCTAACCACTATGATTCTGATGGCTTGGGTACTTTCATGCTAATGAACAAAGCAACAACAATTATCTGAGAATATTCAAAGACTGAAAGTTAAAAAACGATGTTCCAGTCAAAAACTGAGAATCATTTTTTCTTCATTTGACCTTAAAAATTTGAGACTTGCAATGCCTAATGAGTACCATAACTATTTTCACAAGTTTCATCCTGCTTGTTTGAATATAACAAAGTTTCAAGGTATACATATTGTCGAGTATCGGGCGTATATCGCGACAAATAACTTCACGCCGTATTTGATATAGCGAATTTTATTTCACATTCGCTCATACCATCACCCAAATTACAGATTTACGATTACTGCTATCTGCAGTATCACAAATAGTACACTCCAAATGCCACAATACAACTGACTAGTTGCTGGCTAACTCGGAACTAGGAGGTAGCTCCTGGACTCGCTGACTGACTCAGTACAACTGAAATCGCCGACTGCTACAGTAGAACTGACTGTGAATAGCCTTCGCTGCTCCTTATGTAGCCTCGATCGGACAATACAGAATCCGGCCACGTAATATGCACCCTTGTTGCCTGGCGCTGTGTTGCTAGTAACGCTAGCGGAAGTAACCGCTGTTACTACTTGGTGACGTCACCGCTGTTGACTTGCGTTGCCTAGCGACCAGGATGCTAGGACTCGGCTAACATCGGCTCGCTTCGGCTTCGCTCGGCGCATCACGGCTGGCGGGGGGTGGGGGAGGGGCATCATCCATAGCTCAGCATGTCACAATATATTAGTTACACAAAACAGTACAGTTTCAATAATTTACTTCTTCAATGAAGTAAATTATTACAACTATATTGTTTTGTGTGATGGATATACATCTTGAAACTCTGTTAGGTACCATAATGCTATTGAACAGGCCAAGGAGTAACACTACTTTGGTAAGAGACTTCAATTCTACTTCTCTGAAACAAGGAAATCAAACAGATGACAAATGGGCATTATTTTGTAAGTAGAGCATATGGAAGAACAGTCTCACAGCTAATACAATTGAACAGTTTACCTGCCCAGGAAATGGGGGCTGTCGAGTAACAGCGGGCAATGTGCTTGGAGTGCGGGACACTGTCGGCTGCTGCTGTGATTGTGGTTGCTGCTGTTGGTATGCTGGACTGAGGCCAAGTGTTCGATACAGACGATCACGCAAGAGCACCATCTGTTCCTGCAAAAAGGAGACGGAAAAGTCAATTAGTGAATTAAGTTACACTTCAATACCTAAGTATACAGCAAATCCACCCCTCTTACTGACATTTAGCAGAGTATAAGTTAGATGACTTCACGGATCATCAGTTGGTCTCTCACAGCAGAGGCATGGATTCAAACCTATGACAGTGAGCATGGGATTTGTGGTGGCCATCTGCGGCCACAATATGAAGGCACTTTTGCTTACACAAAAGCCATTATTATTATTATTATTGATAAGATGAAGTAACATAACAAGTACCACAAGCATATGCTGCTGTGCAATGCATATAAAGGGCCCAAAATGGGTCTCTCAAAGGTTTGGAAACCACTGATATTACTAAGAGATGTGATCTTAACAAGACCTCACATAAATTTCATCACACATTAACATTACAATAATCCACTGGGCAAGGTAAAATGAGTTACCCATTCTTAATTAAGCACCACACCATGAAGACAGATGGGAGAGTGGCAGCGCAGCATAATGTTAACACCTGATGGAGGTGAATGGTCTCGGTCTCTTTACTCCAAGGGAAAGAAACCCTAATACCCTCTGCATAAAAGGTTGGACAGGCCAAGAGGAGATAACTCTCACCACCCTCTGAAGCATGTGATGACCTTGGCCAGTTAGCACATTATCATATCCTCTGTCTTTATGTTGATGGCTTCCCCTTCAACCAGGCATTTGGCTCGTAAGAGTGTAGTGTAAAGGAGTTACTATTTTTATACTTGTTAGTTTTTTGAGTAACAAAGATCACTGGTGTTAATACAAAAGAAATTAAGATACAGCAAAATCCCCATTTAACATGCCTCAATTTAATGTCAAATTTAACACTGAACTTCAATGATTCCAAATCAGTATTCTCAATGGTAAAATAATTCCCTGAAAGATTTTCCTAAGTTCACTACTCCACCCCCGCCAAAAAAAATTTAAACAGGGATTTCACTGTGAATGAACATTAACACAACCAAGTTTTTAATTTTATTGGCTGAAAAATGTATATATGAAGTTCAACAATGTTTCTCCAATATTATTTATCCATTACTTTGTATTGCTTCTTTCTTTTGTATTTAATTTACAGCATACTTACTTCCTAGACTTTACAGAGTTTAATGGAAGAATGACTGGTGAATGATGACTTGAAAGGGATTTGGAAGGAAATGGTAATGACCTATTCCAGGTACAATCTTAGCATTTGCTTGGAGGGACTGACGAAAACCATGGCAAACCTCAGTCACAACAGTAGGTATACCAGCGGAGATATGAAGTAAGCACCTCCTAGACAAGATTCAAATACACTACTGCTATTCCAACCCATTTGGTCAACATTAATGCCTTAGTAGCTGGTCACGGTAACCAAGCGTTCTAAGGCATGCACTGTCTTTGCTCACTCAGAAGCCGGGATCGTGGGTTCGAATCCCACTCAGGGCATGGATGTTTGTGTGCGTTTTTCTGTGTTTGTCTACAGGTGGAGGTCTTGCGACGCACTGATCACTCGCCCAAGGAGTCCTACCGAATGTGTAAGATCTAGTAAACCGAAGTGAAATGGAGAGTTTCATGGAGGTAGGCCTAGGCCCAAATTTGGGCTGTAGCACCACAGAAAAAAAATGCGTAAGTATCAGCATTTATAATGTCTTGACAATAATGTGATTGCTACAGGACTACTTACATCATCAGAGTTCCTCAAGTATGTAAGGGCTGCCGTCAGGTTGCCCTGAGAAGCGAGCATGGCAGCGTAACGTGACAGCACTTCTGCCAACTTGCCCGAAATTTCCACAGTGCGTCCCTGCTGCTCCACTGCCTTGATAAGTAACATCACCAGTTCTACCAAATGCTGCACCTTGATTGGAGTGTCAGTTCTCTCTGTTGCTAGCCAACTCTCCACAAGTTTATTCAGGTTACCAGCACAAATGTAGCACAACTGTGCATTCAGAGATAAGCTCCCTTTGCCCTCAACTTCCAGCCGTGCTCCCAGTAGCTCTGTTCAACAAAATAAGATTATTGAATGAGTGGATAACCACAGAATAACGATGAACAATATCAACCCTTTCCAGTTGAATACTGAATCATGTCTGCCACTGTAAACTCCCTGCTATAGTGGAAAAGAAGATCATGGCTACCATCTGCCTTTTAGCAAATTTTCATTACTTTATACAATGAGAAGTACCTGCCTTCAATCAGGTTATGGTTGCTTTCCTTATCAACATCACAATATATGAGGTCTTCTGTGACTTTCAGTCAATATTTCAGGATCTTATTTCCGTGGTCATTCTCACTCAGAAATGTCATATGAACATGGGTGTGACTCTTGATGGTTATGGAAATTTGAGATGGTCTGAACATGCTTTTTGTATAATAAAAGATATATAAAACAAAAACAAAAAATGAAAAAGGAGAGAATGAAATTAAGTTTAATAAATGTTCAAAATGGCCATCATCAGTCTGGATATACATTCTGACTTGTCTGACCACAGAATGTGTTCAGCTGCATAGACCAGGGTAATTCATGAGCCCTGAAGCACTGAAAATACAATGAAACAGTTTTCATTGCATGCATCCTGTTGTGCTTATTATATACAATTATTGGAATCTGTCATAACACAACAACATAACAGTCAAGGCCAGCATCTCCTTAGCTTTTAAAGCTATCATCAGGCGAAATACATGGTTACCATATTCACACCCTATTGAACTGCATTTCAATGTGACAGCAGAGCTGGATACTTGAGAACTATGTTATACTATAATAATACAAGGCATAAAATATACAATGAATTATAAAATTATTATAAAACGAAAGTTATGTAATAAAATATGGTTAAAAACTCTTTGTGTGATATTTCATACTACAACGTCAGTTGTTACAATCTTGTTGTTATATTCCAGCGGACATATAGTGGTACGTTATATTCAAAACTTGTACACGTATAGTAAACTGCTTGGGGGCCCATGGTATATGTGTAGTATTATTTGACATTAACTGTTTGGCCGGTGCTTCATTTTACAATGTATTTTGTCTGTTCTGGTGGGAATACAGATTGCAATAGTTCCTGTCTCCTATCTACTCTGCATCAAACACAATATTTTTATGTAACCCCATACATGAAAATGTAATGGACTGAAATTTGGCACCTGAAATGGCGAATTCTGCAGACCATCACAGCCAATTCAACAGCCAGGAACTGGTCATTCATGTACTGCAACATGCATCTGCTAAAATGTAGCATGCCCACGCACACATTTGTTTACACAGGGTGGGGGAGAGGGTGGCAGACAGAGATGCAAAGTAGCCAAAAATTTGAAGGGGGGATATTTAAACAAAGAAATCAAAGCTTACCCAAAGTACAGTAAAATCCAAATTTAACAAAAGGATTTTCTTAAACTAAGTAAAGTTTTCACTAAATGAGCATTACAGAAAATTATACCAAGAAACTTTCCATCTTGATATAAAACTTGCTGTATATAATTATTTTAAATAAATAGATAAAACATGTGTACATTAGTAAATACAATTATACAATCAATAGTATCAAATTAATTTATAANAGATCATATTCATTAAGTATGGACTGTCACTAAAAGCAGGCACACTAATTTTGGATTTCAGTATAAATACAGAATATATACAAGAACAATATATAAAACTGGTAACATACAATTGTAATTATTTGTATCTGTTTTATAACATAACCCCAAATCTAGCACATCTCAAGTGTTGGCTACCCAATTAATCATAAACATTGTCACCATAACAAATATAAATACAAGTCTCAAAAACCATTTTGAAAGACTTCAAACGTTTTTCTTACCGCACAGGGCAGGAAACTCCTCATTCTTTGTGTATGTCAGCACCCCTGCCAGGGCTTCTTTCCAGCTATCAACTTTACATGCCTGAACCACCTGACTCCAGTCTTCACTTACTACTGCAGATATTACTGTTGAAAGGTAACCCTTTGTTTGCTGCAAAGAAATTCATTCAAGTACTTTATTTTAATTTAAATTTGTAAATCTCTGACCTAAATGTGACCTACTTGTTCCAAATTTTTATGTTTGCTTCATTTATAATTTTGTCTTCCATACTCCAACCTACACAACTTTCCTTCGTGCGTTATTTAAGAATTCTCTCAGTTATCTAGCCTACGGTAGGATGACTGACGATCTCATATGAATGTGAAAGATGGTCATGGTCTAATGTGAGGTCCTATACTGGTATTAGCCTGGACTAACTGAGGAAAACCACAAAAGACTTGCCAAGATACCTGGTGTCATGGATGAAATCTGAACTCAAAGCTTCTTTCTTCAATGAGTCTACAGGGTTACTGCTATACCAACCCATTTGACAATTCCACATTCAACTTTCCTGTATATTAGAGATAACGGCACATGCATTTAACTCCACATTCTCACGATAAAAGAAATTTTACAGCAGAGACAGGATCCTGATTAACTCAGGTTCTACTTCATCTTTAAGTAATAGAAGACTAATATAATTAAAAGGGAAACTATTTGATGAGATAATGTAAACTGTGTTACCTTAAAGTAATGATACTGGGTCTTGGCCAAGAGGTCACTGCCACCAGTCATGGCAAGAATAATGGCATCTGCCATGCGCCCATTCTGAAGACAGAGCTCAACAGCAGCTTCCGTGTTGCCCAGTAACAATGCCTGACAGATAAGTCCCTCTGTATCTGTAAAGCATTCACCTCTATCATACCAGGTAATTCTAGGAACACAGTCTTTTGAAAACATAATATCACTGCTTTGATGAAGACGGACAGGATTAAACCCGTAGCTTTCAAGATGTTTGACTGCATGTTCATGTAATGTTTTCAGACAGCACTCACACAAGAACATGCATGCTTGAGAATGTGCATTCTTAGATTAACCTTCCTGGGTTTCAAAACAAGTAAGACGATGGAGCAGTCATTTTCTGGAAGCTAAGAGTTTCTCAGCTAGTCAAGATATTCACAGAATTGATGGAACTCAGAAATGTTCATTACCATGCTCAAAAGTGCCCACCACTGTCCCCTGTTCTGAGCCAGATGAATCCAGTTCAAACTTCCAATTCTATTTTTTTAATATTTATTTTCATATTAACATTCCATCTATGCCTAAGATATTTTAAGTATTCTCTTTCCAACACATTTTCCTACCAGCACTTTGTTTGCATTTCTCATCTCTTCCCTGTGTGCTACACGCTCTGCCCATCATTTCTGATTTGATAATCATAATAATATCTGATCTTTCAGGGTGGGGGGTTGGATGCAAAGGCTGATGCTCTTGCATTGTAAAAACAATTACTGCTGCAAAATCCAAAGAAGTGAAAACTGTATGGTCTAATTCATGACAGAACAAACAAATCTGGCAGAATCTTCTAAGGAAGGTTATGGCCCAAAAGGGCTGTTTTGCCAATGACGATGATGATGATGCATGGTGAGCAGTATAAATTATGAACTTCTGCATTATACAATTTTCGTAGGCCTCATGTTACTTCCTCTCCCATGAGTACAAATATTTTCATCAGAACCCTGTTCTCAAATATTTCACAATTCATAACTTAGTCCTCTAAAATTCACTTTAATATTATGATCCCATCATTCTAGTCTTTGAAGTGGTTGCTTTCCAGGAAACCAAAATTCTGTATGCATCCCATCTAAGCTACCTATTCAACACATCACACTACCTTAAATAAACTACTATTAAACTACATTAATAGCAAGAGCAAAGCAAAAATTAAAATGTTTCCATTATATAATATCTTCCGTGACCAATTTATCTCTTTGAATTCACAGTATTTTCCCCCGGAGTTTCAAGTTCCTTCAATTTATAACCTTCCCCCAGATTTCTTTAAGCTGATCATGAAATTTTCTGTCTTTATAGAACCTGGTGTTCATGAATGCCACTCAGTGGACCCTATCCTCAGTGAGTTCAATCCAGTTCACAGCTTCACAATTCATTTCTTCATGAACCATTTAATATTATCCTTCCTTTCATACACAGCTTTCCAAAGCAACCACATTCCATGAGGTTAATATAACAACACTTTTCATAACTTTATTGTATCATGTGCCATATAATACCAATCTTATCCCTGACGTTTTAATTGCTGTAAAATATGAGATGAAGAATATAAATTCTTAAGTTACTCATTATGTAATTTTCTCTGTTTAAAAATAAAAAGTAAATACTTTCATGAGGCCAACAGTATTTACCATCTGTGGTCAATATTTTGAAGGGGTCAACTGGGATCTTAGCCAATCCATTCGTCTGGAAGCTCGAAGCAGCAGCAATTGCATCAAATGCTGCGCTTGCACCTCCATCTGATACCTGTGCAAACAAAAACCATATGACATAATCTCACTAGTGTGAAGTGCATCACAGAGAGCAATCATTATCAGTGTGACTATCTGAACTAATATTAACCCACTGACTGTCACAGATGAACTGGATCTGCCTTTGAGAACAGTAAGCAGCGTATTGAAGATATGCATCTGTAGTTCACTTAATGATGTCAGTAGCTCAGAATACACAGTGATGAATAGTAGAATGATGGTGAATAATGAATTGGAAAAAATGTGGCAGAAGCAGTTGAAGCCTAATTAAAGTCTCTGTGGTCCACAAGGCATAGGTGGGTGGACAATATTAAAATGGATCTTAGAGAGATAGGATTGGATAGTATTGATTGGATTGATCTGGCTCAGGATAGGGACCAGTGAACTCTGGCTGTTAGGACTTCACCACAGGAAGCAAAAACCTCACAAAAATCATGGCAGGCAGACTGCACCATAGAATTGGTGGTGGGGAAAACATCAATGGTGCAACCAGTGTACACGCTGACAGGAATGGTTTAACCTTTAAATATCGGACTTTTGAAATGGTGGTAGCTTGAGCTGGCAGGAGTTTATTTAAATGCCCGTTGTTGCTCTGCGTGTAAATGCCCATTCCTGTTAGGGAGCTTTCACTGTATTATTATTATTAGAGGGGGTGGGTCTCCCCATGCACTTAGACCAGTTACTGGTCCATTGTGCGTCCCCCTTTAATTTCTACTGTTGCCATACCCTACTGGTACTGGTGCGTGCTATCAGCCCCGTTCAGCCAATGAGGTCGGCCGTCGGTACCTGATATTTCCCCCCATCTACCAGAGGCATTGGAAACTACTTGGGTGGGAAACTGTTGCCTAATTTTGCTCAGGCTTTTACTGTAACTGGTAATGCTGTAGCTAATACAATTTTTATGATAAATGAATGGAATTAACTTTGTTTTTATCAGCAAAGAACACAGTGTCACATTTTATAATGTACGATTTCAAAATGTGTAGACAAAAAGGTTATAAACTATTTTTAATTTTTTTCTTGTATACTTGAAGCATACTGTAAAAATAGTTTCCCACTTCTTCACATAGTAGTTCTGCATTATAAAATCATTCCTGCTTGTAACACTTGAAATATTTTCGCATTCTTTGCTGCCGTAAAACTGTTTGAAGCAATAAAGTCATTTGGTTCTCTGCTGGCAAGTTTCATATCTTTGTTAAAGTCTTCAGATATTCCAGTCTTTTGACTAAAGGACAGACAAGTTAAAGCATGGCGTTTCAAGAAAGACTAGAGGAAATATCCATTGTTCCTTATTTCAGCGACAAGCCCTATCATTGCAGCTTCAAGAGAATACATTGCCCTTCCTATGGTCACAATGAAACGCTAGCATCGCAGATGAGATACAGAGTTCATTCAGTTTGCTGTGAGTTCACTGCAAATTTGAATAGTTGTTGTTTCATTTCATCATACAATGGCAAGGAAAAGTTGTTTGGATGATGATGAAATTTAAAGGCATTTGAAATGCAAGATATGTGATGTGGGACTGTGCTTTCTNAAGTCTTCAGATATTCCAGTCTTTTGACTAAAGGACAGACAAGTTAAAGCATGGCGTTTCAAGAAAGACTAGAGGAAATATTCATTGTTCCTTACTTCAGTGCCAAGCCCTGCCATTGCAGCTTCAAGAGAATACATTGCCCTTCCTACGGTCACAACCAAACGCTAGCATTGCAGATGAGATACAGAGTTCATTCAGTTTGCTGTGAGTTCACTGCGAATTTGAATAGTTGTTGTTTCATTTCATCATACAATGGCAATGAAAAGTTGTTTGGATGATGATGAAATTGAAAGGCATTTGAAATGCAAGATATGTGATGTGGGACTGTGCTTTCTCAGGTACTTCAAGGAGTATTACACAAAGGTGAGATTCAGTTACGTGACGCAGGGGATGAAGCCTGTATATACATTGAGCAGATAACAAAAAATGTATGCATGAGCAACTGAGTGACCAGATGTTACACTGTCTTGTTTTGAGAAATTCTATAGTAGAAAGAATGTAAAAAATTGAAGCATCATATGGAAACATTAAAAGAAATGTATTTAAGAGCAGCAGACACAAAACCCAAGCAAGAATAGCAAGCAGGAAGAGTTTTTGTTCAAATCCTTGTCTGTCATAACACAAAATAACGGTCAAGGTTAAAATTACCTTAGCTAAATGTTTTGGCTTTTAAAGCCATCAACAGGCAAAACTCATGATTACTACATATGTTCACACACTACTGAACTGCAATTTCACTGTGATAGTAAAGCTGGATACTTGATAACTGTTACATTATAAAATACAAGGTATAAAAATTCAATGAATTATAAACTTATTAAAAACGGAAGTTATGGAATAGATTATGGTTAAAAACTCTTCATGTGATATTGCATATCATGAAGTCAGTTTTTGCAATCTTGTTATATTCCCGCAGACATAATGGTATATTCAAGACTTGTATACAACGTATTTGTCCGCTCTGTTGGGAATACAGATTGCAATTCAATCTGCAATCTATATTCCCAAGAGAGCAGACAAATACATTGTAAGATTATGCACCGACCAAACAATTAATGTCAAATAATACTACACCTATACCACGGGCCTCCAAGCGGTTTACTATACGTATACAAGTATACGGGGGCACAACCAGAACAGGGAAAAATGAAAATAAGAGGAGCGAAGACAGAGTGTTCATTCTCAAGCACATTTTAGTGTGAATGTCGACATGCAATAGGAGGGGAAGCATTGACATACGAACTTGTGCAGTGCGGCAGTTTCAATTAGTCAACAGTTGCCTGAAGATGGAATTGTAAGTCAAAAACATGCTGCAATTGAATTTGATTTTAATGGAATTTTAAAATAAAGGAAAGACTGAATGACTGTGAGTTGCATTAGAGATGGAAATGAATGAACAAGTCAACAGATATAAGGAGAACTGCATGCTTGGTTTAATCTTCTACCTTGCACACAGAGGAAGCAAGTTCCTCTATGAGACTGCATGGCATCACATTCCAGAAAAGAGTAATCTTCATTAGTTTCAACATAACATGAAGCAGTACACACATAAGGAAAAATTCAAAGAATTACTAACAGAAGGGCTTACCAGAGAGGTGGACTGAGTACTTTCAGATCCATCTGCGTCTCCATCAGAGTTGTTCTAGAATGGCCCAACATAAAGCAGGAAAGGTTAGGTTACAGTACACTCAACAAGGCCAGTGCTCTACATCATACAAGCAGCACCCAAATGTCACAATGAAAAGCTACCACACACAGGACATGACTCTGGGATTTCCCACAGAACAGTTACATATATGACAACACATTGTTGGATTTGAGGTTCCCACAACTGTGACAGTAAAGAACACAAATCTTGTGGGATCTGATCCCATGTAGTCTGGTAGAAGTTCACTGATGTTTTGGGGGAACAATGTGCTTGCTTGGCTTCTTCTTTAACCCTCAAGATGGAGACATATGTTCCTCCAAAATACTGGAGAACTTTCATTGAACTACTACAGCATCACATCTATATAAGTAACATGAAATCTCAGGAACAATTTATGATGATTAACATTACTCCATTCATCATAAAAGTTTTTTAAATCTACTAAGTTTCAAGAACTGGCTCCATTTCTTATCACCAAGTGAAGGACCGCTTACACCATTGTATGTCTACATGGTGCCACTCTCAAGCCTGATCCCCACGACTCTTTGCCCTGGGTCTTATCAGAGCAGGTATTTATTTCCATAATGCCATAAATAGGGCAAATTTCTGAAATGTTGTTGTTTTTATAAACTCTATACTGTGTATTGTGAGGGGCACATGATAGCATAGTTGGTTGAGGCACTATGCTACAAGCCGGAAGGTTGCGGGCTCAAGTCCCAATGAAGTCACTGGATTTTTTTCAATTGACCTAATCCTTCCAGCCGCACTATGGCCCTGGGGTCAACTCAGCCTCCAACAGAAATGTGTACCAGGAATTAATTAAACAATTTTCCTGGGGAGTACAGCACAGCCGGCGTGTAAGGCTGACAACCTTACTGCCATCTTTGAGCCAATTGTCTAGACAATGTGGGACCCTCAACGTCTCACAACCCTATGGGCCTTCACAGCCTGTTATAGGGATACCTTTACTTTTTTTACTGTGTACTGTGATGATAAACACAATTTTAAAAAAACTTTTATGATCAAAGAAAGTCAAAAAGAACAATACTAATCAACATGTCACACCTTCACCAAAGACTTGAAACTAAGAACTTATGATATGTTATTATCCTCCACATGCTTCCATCTGCACAAGGTCCAGGAAATTGCAGATAGTAGGAGAAGCAAGCAGAGTGTATTTATATCTTCTTACAATAATATTAAGATAATTAATATGAATTACTGCTACAGGGTTAATAAAAAAAGATGGATTCCCTTTACTGCACACATAAAATGAAAAATTTATGCAGAAAAATAATTCTGTTGATAACGTGCACCACTGGCCTGGCATAATGTAAACAACCTGAATCTTCATTTGACGAGATGGCATTAATCCTTATTCTACCATTAATCTGTCATTCCCTTGTGAGATGTGAGATAGACTTGACAGGCAGCACATTATCACATCTTCAGTCTTTATGTTGCAGGCACTCAACAGGTGACAGAATATCAAGTTTACCTTCTATATACCCTCCATGCACAAATGATGCACATACCTCCTGTATGTATTCTGTTCATCTACGTTACAAAAGACACAACAGGACACAATAAATACAATCATAAAGATAAACTTACGTCATGCCCCAGTCCTGCAACACGATCGCTTAAGTTATCGATGTCTCCAACCAGACGAGCATTAGCTGGTTTACCAATATGCCTACCAAGCTGAAAAAGAAAACGAAACAAGATGCTAAAATGACATATGTACCCGCCATTTTCAACTGTCTCATTTTTGTTAAACAAACACGTTTCAGAAGCTGGGCCTGCATCTTTAATGGCTAGAAAAACATAACCCACTATTCTGGGTCCATTAGAGCCTGTCTTTATCCCCATACAACATGTTGTGGAACAAGACCTCGAGGAGTATTCTTGAGATGTCACTTTATTACTCAATTTCACAACTACAATTCAACGTAACTATAACACAAATGTTGCACAAGTTATTTCACAGTCGCTACTTTCACGTTAACAACTCTCATGAGGCTGTAGAACTGCTCTGCTGCCTAGCCACATGCTTCTGTCGGCTTCCACTGTCTTCTGTCAGCACACACACTGCCTTTTCTTAGCACAACTCACACTGCCATGCTTGGTCCTCAGCTGGCTTCTTATACTGTTCCCTGTTGCCCTAGCAGCAGCAGCAGCATCCACTGTTATGTCACAGCGGGGAAGTGTTCACTAGCTTGTTGCCCCTAGCAGCAGCAGCTCCTATGCTGTTATGTCACCGCAGGAAAGGGTTTACCCACAACATGTGCGTTATCGCGTCACACTGAGTCCACGATTCCCGACACAACACCATAATAAGTGTTATGATGATGGTGGTGGAACTTACACAAACAAAATCTGCTGTGACACAGAACTAGAAAATTAAACAATCCCTACTATTTTATTTCTTCCACCCCATCACCACAGATGACACACAGTCAGTCTACTTGCCACCATGGTCCTGTTAACATATCACTGCAACTATCTACAATGTTGCTTCTCCTAACACCAAACTGATGTGGCAACGCTCCTTTGAAGAAATCCAATGCGCCATTCACTGCCCACAATGCACTACTAACAACTGTAGAGGGACTTAAGAAGAATTTGGGTTCCATACACAATACTTCTACAAGAGCAGAGAATAGAGAGAGACCAACTATGTGGCAACGGCAGTGGATATGTCCTTTCCTGTGTAGGATTTGAAGTTCTCGCAGCGGTGATTATGAAAAGTTCTACCTTCTGGGATATAATGCCATGTAGTCCAAGGAAAGTCAACTGACGTCTCAAAGGAATACATCACCTAAATCTTCAAGGTCAAAAAATAAGCCAAGCGAGAAACCAGCATGATGCACTCAGCATGCAGAGTTGGTTTCTTGCTTGGCTTATCCTTTGACCATGAAGATGGAGGCATCATGTTCCTACGAACCATCAGCTGACATTCTAAGGATTACATGGTGTAATAAGCCTCTTCTACAAGCCAATGCTTCCTGTCCCCGCCCGTTTGCAAACAGCAAAGATCTCTTAAGAATACTGCCTTCTGCGATGTGATGTTGTGTAGTGTAGTAACACTGCCTCCATCTTCAGTGTGGAAGAGTAGTCTCACTCTTCTACATGAAGATGGAGACAGCATATTTTCCTCAGAAATATCAGCGAACTAGTAAGAGACTATATGATTGGACATACCAGAAGACAGTATTCTTCAGAGTCACTGTCATGAGAACTTTAAGTCTAAGACAGCAAAGATCTCATATGAAGTACACATTTTCATATAAACTACAGTTGCAGCACTGTCATGTTTGAATACTATCTGTGTTATGTTTCTGCTCTTCGGCTTCTTTCAATTCCCTGCCCCTGCCTTACTTCAACTTCCTCTCGCACGTATTACAACAAATTTATCTGGCTCAGACTATAAAAATTGAAAGATGTTCAACAAAATATGACTTCAGTTGCAGTACCAATAATTTTCCCCAGGGATTTTATAAAGTTCCCATGAAAATAAATATTTCACTACATTACCTTGCTGTTTATTTCATCAGGTTTAAATCCCAATAAGCTAAGGAGTTCAGCACGTGAATTAGTCTCAAAGTTGGCACGAAGAAAGTTCCAAACAGCACGTTCATGAGGTGTTGTGCTGGATGCAATCTTAGCTTGGCAGAAGTCGGTATACTGACCATACTGCAAAACTGTTTCCAATTGGTTGGAACGTGCTATCAGTTCTGACTCTGTCACCACCTGACTCACATACACCGTGTGCAACATGCCAGTCTGGCCAGCCTGAACTCTCTCATTGCCAAATGACACCAGTTTTCCACCAAACTGAAAACAAAAACAAACAAAAAAGTAAGGAAATGTATGCACATTGTAACAATTCCAGCACATTAATTCTGTTACTGCATCCAGATTTTAAAAATCCCCTTTAATTATCTCAAAAACATTTAAATTGATGAAGTGTACTGGGCATAAAATATGTACATGTTTCATTTTTTTTTCCACAGCTTTTCATCAAAACATTTTTAAACTCTGATTAACAGTTAAGAACCTGATCTCAACATGTGAGCTGAAATAAATGATTCTTTCACATAAACTGACCATCGATGCTGTCTGATTTTAACCGAGAGCTGGAATGTGTAGACTGTTCTTAGTAAAATTCCCACATATTAAACTTTGGTATAATCTATTTGGCGGTTCACAAGTTGCTACATGCATGCAGGCAGGCAGACAAACAAAGTAAAGCTGTTGGGTGCATTTTCATTAGTCTACTGGTTACATGCCAAGAACATGTTAAGGAACATTCCTTCTACATGCGGTAGTTACCTAATATATTCTGATAAAAGTTAGAGAGGTAAAAATATCCTTAAGCTTAGGCGCACGCGAGGGCGCACACGCACGCACGCACACACAGCTGAATAGGAAAGATGAGGCATACATAAGGAATTTTGGTGCAGAAGCATACTGGAAAACATCTATTTGCAGGACAGAAAAAGAGAGGGCAGGTCAACATTAGCNCTACAGCTGTCTAGCCTAAGTAGTAACAATGAGAAAAATCTCTGCCTCTGCTTGGGATTGAAATTTAGTCTCCCAGTCTGTGGTCACCACTTTACTGACTCGTACATATCATCTCTGACACACACAGCACCACACAGCTGAATAGGAAAGATGAGGTATACATAAGGAATTTTGGTGCAGAAGCATACTGGAAAACATCTATTTGCAGGACAGAAAAAGAGAGGGCAGGTCAACATTAGCATGGCTCTTACAGACAGAGGCACTAAGGATTGAAGGTGGACGGAAACGGCTCAGAATTGCGTACAAAGGCTTAAGTATCAGGAGTGATGAATGCCTGGATTTTGCTACAACAGAGTTATATATGTATCTAGAAAACTTCCTTGACTTTGGTGTGGAACTTACGCCAAATGATGCACCCACAGGTCTCCGGAGCCACTTTGGTGGTTTACGAAGATCCACAGGGCTCTGTTGTTGCTGCTGCCGTTGTGGCGGAGCTTGTGCAAAAGCATCCATACCAGGAAATGAATCTGCAATCTGAAAGACAATATGTCTTATAACCAGGGCCCGGATTTTGATGACATGTCATCTTTTTTTCATTGTATCCTATGCGATGCTCTTAAATGTATAGCTCTCGGATATAAGATGCTGGTTACAGAAATGTAAATTTTATGGGTAATTTTTTGTCACTTTTCTTGACATTTTTTAGGTTTAAGGTCATTTTTTCATTTTTGGGGTAATTTTTTGGACTTTAAGGGTATTTCTTGTCATTTTTGGCCATTTTACGGAATTTTTCTTCAAATGTTTTCTGAAATGTGAATAACATGGAAGCGAAGTGTTCTTTCTTTTCTCCTTTAGGTCATTTTTCTGTTTTTTTTCGGTCATTTTTTTTAATATTTTCAGGTCATCAAAATCCGGGCAGTGCATATTACATTTTTGGGTCATATTTTAGTCATTTTTCTGGATTTCTTCGGTCATTCTTTAAATATTTTCAGGTCATCAAAATCCAGACCCTGCTTATTACACATACTTTCAGCAGTGATATCTGAGGAGCTGATTGCAGTGTCCATGAGGATTACTGTCTACTAAGATGTTACATATTCTAGTCTGGAAGACAGTTGCTAAAATTGTTGAGAAACCTGCTGTCTCTACCTTCAGGGTGACTATATGATGTCACATACCAAGAGACAGTAATCTTCAGAATTTTCAGTATCTCATATAAATTAAATTTCAACGAGACTGTGGTCTACCTGTTTGTGACACCATGTACATTTGTGGGTGGATACTAATGTTTCAGAGCAACACAGTGCTTCCACCTTGAGGGTTGAAATGTACAGGTTCAGGAACACACCTGGTTACACACATAAGTTATAGGGTCATGGGACCCACAGAGAGAGGGTAAAGACAGGAACCTTGTCCAAATCAATGTGAAGAAATGAACAAAAAGTACCCTTAGAATGGGCACAATGGTTTATCATCATAGGTGAAAAATGGAATAGTGAGAAAGAACAATCTTTCCAGGGATCCACTACCTTCAAAAAGAAAGTGGAAAACTCAAATTTTAATTTTGATATCACAGTTAACTGTAATGTTTTCCTTGTGCTTAACTAATTAAGCACTATGCCATGAAGGTCTATAGGGGAGTGGATGTATAGATCCACTTATTCTTGACTTCAGCACTAGATGGAGGTGAGTGGTCAGCTTCATGCACCACTTCCTTTACCCCTGGGGAAAAGCCCCTGGTACCCACAGGACAGGAGGCTGGGTGAGCCCCATAACAAGTCTGGATGCTGTGGAGAAGAAATAAAAAGCTCACCCCTACCAGGACTTTTAACACATTGCGGACCGGTGGTTTAAACATTTAAATCACCCTGAGGACCGGCGTTTTTAAACCTACTACCCTAACTTGTGAATTGCTCNGCACTGCCATCCATCTGGACTGTCACAATTCATCAAAGTTTTCTTAACTGACTTTTCCATTACTCCAGTCACATCTCTACAAGCTATTAACACAATTATGGCAGGAAGAGAAGTCAGCTTCTTCTGTGACTCTGTGCTAGCAAAACAGGACTTACCTTGTTGCTTGTCTGAACCTGCTGTTGGCCGCCAGTGAGTGAATACACGCTGACATGTCCATCGAAGCTGGAGCTGGCAATGAGAGCTGGGTTTCGTGGGCACCATGAAACATCAAAGTTCCACTGATTGGCTGTTGCAATGTCACACACCACTTCTCCACCAGGAACACTACTATTTGGGTTCCAGCATAGGATTCGATTGTCCTTGCCACAACTGACAAGCAGATCTGGATCTTGTGGGCACCATGCAATAGACAGGACTCCTCTGCGTAAGCAACAGCATTTCAATAGTTTGAAAACTACTCCTTACAATTATAATTTCTAAACTAATATACAAACCAGAGTGAGTTAAAGCCTGGAGTCAAGAGAAATGTATGAACAACATTCACAGAACTCAAACCAGTAAGCAGTGGGTAACAAAAGCTAGAAGAGGAAGTTAGGAGGTGCATGTATAACAAAATTTCCGAACTTCTATTCACTTCTGTTTAAAACTGTTAAGGCTCTCAGAAAAAAAAGTGTACAGACCATAATATTGGCATCTCATTTTTCTCTATACCATTTTGAAATATTATTCATCATAATAAAGGGCAGGGATAGCATAGTCGGTATAGCGACTGGTTACGGGCTGGATGACTGAGTTGTTGGAGTTCCGAGTCTAAGTAGGGTCAAGAATTTTCTCTTCTTCACATCATCCAGACCAGCTGTGGGGTTCAACCAACCTCCTACCCAATGGGTACCAGGGGCTCTTTCCCCAGAAGTAAAGCGGGCAGGGCGTGAAGCTGGCCACTCACCTCCAACTAGTGCAGAGATCAAGAAAATGTGGATCTATATATCCACTACCCCATATTCCTTCATGGCATAATGCTTAATTAGTTAAGCAAAGGAACAGCTTTATAAAAAGAGTCGGTACGTAATGTTCGAGATGTGTGAAGAAATATACAAAAATCTGTGTGTACATGTTCATTAATGTAGAACAATTAATGACCATAAATGGAACGTGCTGACAAATTTTAATGTAACTCCCTAGTACAACACCTCAAGAGGATCCACTTAGTGGTTCTCAAGTTGTTATATGCACACAAGCAGTCATGGCGAAGCTAGCACAAATTTTAAATGCAAACACGCCAAAGTAGAAACATTATGTATGTCAGGGGCATGTGGTAGCGTAGTTGGTTGAGGCACTATGCTACAAGCCAGAAGGTCGCAGGTTCAAGTCTCTAAGGGGTGGATTTTTTTTTAATTGACCTAATCCTTCCAGTCACACTATGGCCCTGGGGTCAACTCAGCCTCTNAAGTCCCTATGAGGTGGATTTTTTTTTTAATTGACCTAATCTTTCCAGTCACACTATGACCCTGGTGTTGACTCAGCCTCTAACAGAAATGAGTACCAGGAATCTTCCTGGAGGGGGAAAGAGAGGCCGGCGCCTAAGGCTGACAACCTCACCGTCAACTGTGAGCTGACTGTCTAGATAATTTGGGATCCTCAACATTTCACAACCCTATGGGCCTCCATGGCCTGTTGCAGGGATAGCTTCTTTTAGCTTTTTACGTACATCAGAATAGATTTATGCACTGGTATTCAATGTATTAATGCTCTGCAGGCACAATACATATGAATCTACAGACCATTACTAATATTCTAGAATATTCCCTGGCTGATATCGCAGTGTGTATGACTTGACACTTCTGACAATTGTAAGAACGAGTGACTAAGTTAACACTTAATTACCTCTGATGACTTTCTAGTACTTTGAGTGGTGATGTTGCAAATCGTAAATCCCAGAGCTGGATCACAGGAGTCTGATCTTCCTCTGATGCAAGGCAAAGTTGGGTTGCCACCTCTGGATGCCATGCCACTACCTTCCAACGAACCTATGCACAACAGCAATGCAACCTCATGCTGTCAGTAGTTCAGACCATAGCATCAAATTATAGGACAGCTAATGAACAATGAACTGGAAGGATGAGAGAAACATTTGTGGTGTAACTTGAGTTATTATCCTGTCATTTGACAGGAGGGGCTGAAAAGCCTGTTTCAGACCTCAGTACAGATAACTGCAGTCCTCCAGAATATANTAGCTAATAAACAATGAACTGGAAGGATGATGAGAGAAACATTTGTGGCATAACTTGAGTTATTATCCTGTCATTTGCCAGGAGGGGCTGAAAAACCTGTTTCAGACCTCAGTACAGATAACTGCAGTCCTCCAGAATATAAACCAGTTGTGCTAATCACCCAACCACAGTACAAGATTCCCTTTTCCTCAGACACCTAGAGATGCTACATACATTTACATAGCATATAAAGCGATATCATGTTTCAAAACTGTTCCAGCACAACCACAACCAATGAAGACTAAAAACCAAGAGGAGATTAGATTCTTGTTATTATTTACTTCAAAAACTTCTATCATGCTATTTTCCAGAACACCCACCATTAAGATACAGGGTGTGGGGACACCCCCCGCCCCAATAGCCTGTACAGGGGATATAAAAAGGTAAAAATGTGAAGCTATCCCTGTAACAGGTCGTGAAGGCCCACAGGGTTGTGAGACGTCAAGGCTCTGACATTTTGTCTAGACAGTCAACTTGCAATTGGTGGTAAGCTGTCAGCCTTACATGCCGGCCACCCTTTAGCCACAGGAGGATTCCTGGTACTAATTTCTGTTAGAGGCTGAGTGCACACAATGGCTATAATGCAGCTGGAAGGTTTAGATAAATAAAAAAAAATCCACCTCATCGGGACTCGAGCCCATGACCTTCTGGCTTGCAGCACAGTGCTTCAACCAACTGCACTACCACGAGCCCCTGTACAAAGGATATTAAAAAAAAAGTAAAGCTATGTCTGCACCAGGCTGTTAAGGCTCATAGGGTCGTGAGAAGTTGAGGGTCCCACATTATCTAGACAATTGGCTCAAAGATGGCGGTAAGGTCATCAGCCTTATGCGCCGGCCGTGCTTTACTCCCCAGGAAAATGATTTAATTCCTGGTACTCATTTCCGTTAGAGGCTAAGTAAACCCCAGGGCCTAGTGCGGCTGGAAGGATTAGGTCAACTGAAAAAAATCCAATGACCTCATCGGTACCTGAACCTGCGACCTTCCAGCATGTAGCACAGCCCCTCAACCAACTACGCTACCGCGTGCCCCATACAAACGATATAAAGTACGCATTTTGTTACAGGAGCTTTTCAGGAAAGTGATAACTTGGAGGATCAAAGAAAAGACCAGAGAATAATATTAAGATGGGCCTTGGGGAAGAATGTAACATATGGATGGGAAAGAAATGATTCAGAACCATGTCCAGTGTTGAGCTTTGGTATTACTAGCACTGAATCTTCAGGTTCCATTACCAGAGAGCTGATTATGGTATATAAACAAATTAGAAGATAATTAACTATACTGTTTTAATTGCGAAGAATCACTTCAATGTGTCTCCTCAAAAATTACTCTATATTTATTTAGCCTAGGAGCCAGGATAGCAACTGACTAAGAGCTGGATGACCAAGGGGCCAGATTTTGAGACCCAACAGGGTCAAGAATTCCCTCTTCTCCAAGTCATTCAGACCTACTCTGGGGTCCACAAAGCCTTCTATCCAGTGGGTACTTGGGGCTCTTTCCTCAGAGGTAAAGCGGCTGGGGCGTGAAGCTGACCAATCACCTCCAGGTAGCATCCAGCTCAAAAAAATGTAGATGTATACATCCACTCCCCCATATGCCTTCATGGCATAGTGCTTCATTAGTTAAGCACAGGGACAGCTTTACCTTCATGTATTTAGTCTGATATGAGCTTACTGAATAAAAAGACTGCTAGTGGTCATAATTATGGAAACAATATCACACTGTGTTTGTGAATTTCCTCCATCATTTGCCATTCCAAATAGAACACACTTCACTGGATCTGTGATCAAGCTCTTTCTAACAGACTCAACTAAGCATGCATCTCAACTTTTTACCTGATGATAGGACAAGATTAAGTTTATGAAATGTGCTCTGGACAAAGTCCAGAAATCTGGTAATACAAGTATCAGAATCCTTTTGAACTGACAATGAGAAATGTTTGATGCAGTACTTACACGTGATGTGCTGTCAGTAAGTTTGATAATAGGTTCATTCTTCCTCAAGTCCCAAACTACGCAGCGTGGGGCAAATGTTGATGCTAGTATGTGTTGGACTGAAATATATAAAATAAATTCAATACATTAATATAACAGAAACAAAATGTCACTATTTAGAATGTGATCTTCTCGATTATGATACCATGTTTGTAGCGTAGTGGTCTCCAATGCTTACCAGGAACCTGCTTCATTGATGTTTTGCCCTGAAGACATGGGCAGTATGTTCCTCCAAAGTGTTGGTAAACATCTACCAGACTATATATCACATCATATCATAACCCAAAAGAATACCATTTAAATCTTCAGGGTCATGAAAACCTCAAATTAGAAAACCATATACAGCATCTTTAATTCTGGCACAACCGAGATTGAAACTCACCCACAGATCACCTACTCCCCCCCCAAGTTTTCCAAGTTTTTCTCAAGTCTCTTCAACACATGATGTCATAATTCTTTATAACAAGCCAACACAACTTTGATCCACATTTTTTTGCAATTCATCATTATACTTACTGTTAAAACTTAAATGTTCTGTGGCAAACAGATATTCCGATTAAAAAAGACGAAAGATACATGAAACACCAAAAAATAAAGAACGATTTTTCTGTCATCCTGTACTTACTTTTAATTGCCATGTAGGGCAATTATTTCCCATAAGTGATATATAAATGTTAGCCATTAAAAGTTAAATACAGCTTCATTCTAAATTACTTTAAAGTTTTTGATGATGGTGGTACATGATGTATACAAACATATTTTTGGGCTTCATCCACCATCCTGCCATTTCTTTAATATGAAAACCACAAGGTTCCTACATACCCTGTCCAATAGCTTCTGGAAAAGCTAACATTTGCTCAGCTACTCAAGAAGTTCCCAGCATTTTATGGAATCCAAAGGTTCGTTACCATGTTCACAACAACTTACCACTGTTCCCTTTCCTGAACTAAATGAATCCAGCCCACACTCTCCAAACCTATTCCTTCATGATCCATATCAATATTATCCTTCTATCTATGCCTAGATCTTCCATGTGGTCTCTTTCTGTTCCACTTTTCTTACAAAAATTTTGCATGAATCTCCCTTCTCTCCTGTTTGTGCTACATCCCCTGTCCATCTCCATACCCTCTCCACCACAAGATGGAAATACAGGCCATTTCTAAAACAAGTTTTATGTAAAAAAGATCTAAAAGTTTGTGATGATGGCACATTAGTACAAATATTATATGTTTCTGGGCATTATCCATCGCCCTGTCTTCATTTAAAAACAACGTCCTGTTTATTTTTCAAAACATAACGTTTTGGAGACTGGACTCTCTCTGACTTAGGTAAAACCTACTCAGTTGGGCCAAATCAATAGAACTGTATGTGAACACAGAAAAACTAGAATAATTCACAAAATAAAGTAAAGCCTTGAACATCATTAATTTGGTGTCTGTAGTATAGTTAAGGGTTAATGAACTCAATGAAACATATTCATTAGGGAAACCTCACAGAAGAAATCTCATGGGAGACCTAAATATTGATGTGAGGTTGATAAACTGGATCTTGAGAGAAATAGGTTGGGCTGGATCACAAGAAGGACCAATGGTGATCCTTGAGATCAATAAACATGGGACATTTCTTAAGAAGCTGAATAAATGGTCTAAATTTCATAAAAAAAAAAAAGGAACAAAAAAAGGAACAAGACAAACCGTGACGTGAGCAAAGTTTACCAGGGGCTCTATATGCTATCAGTAAATAAAGTGAACTATGCCCTTAACTGGTCACTGACCTGCAAAAACTGAACAGAATCACTGAGTCCAAAGATTTGTGTCCATATGTGTTATTAAAATGGCATATGCACTAGACACCCCTCGTTGGTGTCTCCGCCTTATCGTGGTGAGGGGGTTTGAGTATGCTAAGGACCCTGAGAGCTATACCAGCTGCAGCGTAGTTACTGGCAGGGCCTCCCTTGCTGGACAGGTCAAAGGGTAGGCATCAGACGAAGAGAGACACCAANTGTTCATAGCATTTTTTGGGTTCAGAAACACAATGTTTTGGAGACTCATTCTATCTCTGTCAGCAAGTACAAACTGAAAACTACTCAAGTGGGTCCATTAGATGCAGGTACCTTCTAATCTGGAAATAGATATTAGCTTTATTCAACGCGCCCACCTGAGCAAGTTCCCACTCTCACCTGACCATGGAGACAGACCCTGATATGTATACGTCACCTCAGTAACGGATACTGTGGGATTTTTCTCTTGGAGCAAGCTGGCCATGCAATGCCATCTAATTCAGTGGTTCTTAAACTGGGGTGCAACAGATGATGAATATTTTTTTGAAAGTAAATCATCAAAAGTACAAATTAAGTATAGGCACATAAGAACAGCTACTTTGTTCACCAACCATATGTAATTATTAATATCATACTTTTTTAATGATTACTGTAATATATAAGCAAAAAACTTATTTAGGTTTATTTAAAGAACAGACCTATTTCAACAATTTTTTATTAATGGGTTCAAAACCATATTTTGAGAAACTAAGGGGTACATTCTGCAGTAAGGGTGGAATGCTACTTCCTCAACCACTACTCTTCCTCAGTGAATTGTCCTGGATACAACACAAGACAATTTAATAGAACTGTAATACAAGGTGTATTACAAGGTGTGTAATACAAGACACAAATGTGTCTGGCATTTCAAAGTGTTATATTTTTATAACCGCGCATGTGGACACACACAAGTGGCTGTGTCATAACTCAGGCAGTTAGTCACTGACTTCCCAATGCAGTGGCCCAGGTCTGAGCCTGGGTCAGGTCATGTGGGATTTGTGGTGCATGAAGTGGCACCAAGGGAGGTTTCCTCCAAGTACTTCGGCTTCCCCTGCCAATCTTCATTCCACCAACTGCTCCACAATCACCATTATCTATCACCTGGGACTGGTACAATAGGCCAGAAGAGGCCGCAGTACCACGTGAACTCAGTCTCACCCCACTAAGAATAATACATATATACATACATTCTACTGATCCAGAATTGGTCAAAAACGACAACAGGATGTGGAATAAGACCAAAAAAAACCCACAAAACATATATATACCATACTACACAACTGAAAGACACATAAATGAAAATGACACATATTTAGAATTTGCCTTATAAGGAACACGAACTGAGGGTGTTTGAGAACACAGTTCTGTGGAGATTATTTGGATCTATGAGGGGCAAAGTAACACAAGGTTCGCAAAATCTGTATAATGACAAGCTTCATAATTTGTACTCCTTGCCAAATATCGTTAGAAAGATCAAGCCAAGGAGCATGAGATGGGCAACGTATGTAGCATGCACCAGAACATATAAATAAATACAAAGTTTTGGTAGGGAAACCCGAAGGAAAAATACCACTAGGAAGGTTCAGACATAGATGGAACAGTATTATTAAAATGATCATAATGCCATTGTGTGTGGACTGGATTCATCCATCCCAAAATAGGGACCAGTGGTGGGCTCTTGTGAAGACAGTAATAAACCAAAAATGCTGTGAACTTCTTGAGAAGCTAGTTAGTAATATTCACATGTGCACCTTTCTTAATGTGGTATAGCCATAACATCTGGCATGTGGAGGAAATGACACAGACTATCTTATGAAATATTATTTAGTCATACTGGTGTAACCAGTATTTATTTTAAATTAAATTCTGCATTTTAAACTTTGGTTTCATTAACTTAATTATCTGACGCTTTTATATGAGAGTCACTCGGCAGGCTTGAAACCTATAAAGCAGCAATATTACATACCTTGCCTATTCCAGGACATCCACAATACATCATCTGCCGGCTGGGACTTCGCCCCGGGCAGCATCGGTGTATCTGTGTTGTTCAAGTCCCATATAAGAATTTCTGACTCTGAAGCTCCTGTTGCTAACAGATTCGCCTGCAATAAATACGTATTACACATTTACTCAAACGAAATAAAACTTTTCCTCTGTCAAAAGCTTACAGACAGAAATTTGTGATAAGGTGCTACATGTTCCCGCATGTCAGAAGATGCCTCTCACATCAGTGTGTATACTGAGAACAATGAAGGCAGTGTGTAAAGAGAATAGTGCTGAAATACTGACATTCCAAGTAGCTAAAAAAAATGGTTATATGAAAATTGCCTTTTAACCCACCGTTCAAACACCTGTACTCTGCCTCTGAGACCTTTTAAACTCTGCCCTCAAATTGTGGTAGTACTCTGTCTTGTCATCAAAAGATGGCAGTCTTATGTTCATCTGTACTCTCCCCTTGACCACAGGACATATAAAACTGTTACAACTTATTAACTAACGTGGCTGAGCCCTTCTTGAGAAGCTGCCAATTGTGCAGCTATTCAAGGATTTACCAACATTTTATGGAACCCAAAGGTTCATTACCATGTTAGTAATAGCGCTACACTACAGCCTCATTCAGGAAGCAAAAGATTAAAGTCCATCAACAGATGGCATGAAACCAGAAGAGAAGTATTGTGGTAAGAAGGGAGACTTTTTACTTAACAACCTACTAGAAATGATAGCATAAGAAGAAGAAGAAAGAGGAGGAGGCGGAGAATAAGAAGAAGAAGAAGAAATTATTCTGAATCACAATTTTTCACTGCAACAATTTGAAGACTTCTAAAATTTTTAAATTTACCTGATAAGGGTTGAAATCCAAAGCTCGGACAGGGCCGGTGTGTTTGTCTTGCTGGGCCAGCAGCCCTTCTTCACCAGCCAGCACCTTGGCTGCACTGTATATCTGCACATGACCCCCATCACATCCACCCACGATAATGCCATTCCCATGTTCTCCCCCAAACCCATAAGATCCCCATGCAATCTTGTGAAACCTGTACAAAAAAACATCACTTCTTTCATTCTGGTGAATGTGAATACATAACCATAAAACTTCTCCTGCAGTATTTCACTACACCATCAGACTGCACCAACAAGTGCAGTAAAGACATTCTGAAACATCAGTAGAGTGACAATTGAGATAACAGCACGGCTGTCAAAGTTCCAAAGAAGGAATACAGACAGCAGCATTTGAAATTGTGGGACATGAACTGGTGAATTTTGTAGCATCATATTACAACCTGAATGAAGTGTCTTCTGAACCAAGTCTCTTCATATTTTCAGAAGTACTCCACACAAATTTCTGGCCTTCTGAATTACCAAAGCCTCTCGCTGAATCAAATTTCAAGCTGCTTAACTGTACGCACACCGAAAAGACTTGGGATTACAAAAGTGAAGTATTGCTGTATCAAACAAGAACATCATAAGTGCACATGTCAACACATTCTGGAGATGAGCCAATATTTCTTCAAATATTTCATACTTTTCAACACAAAAAGGTAAAGTTTTCCTTGTGCTTAACTAATTACACAGCATGCCACGAAGGTGTATGGGGGAGTGAAGGAATAGCAATGCCATTCTTGACCTTGGCACTACATGGAGGTCTGGTCACTTTCATGATCAGACATTTTACCCCCATGGAAAAAGTTTCCAGTAACCACAGAACAGGAGACTCAGTGGAACGCAGGGCTCATCTGGACACTAAAGTGGAGAGAAACCTCTTGACCCTACTGGGAACTGAACCCTAGCACTGCAGCCCATAGCCTAACACCATCATATAATCGTCACTCATGAACATCTTACCATTTCATCTGATATTATTCACTTCTGCAACTGAAATGTCATTCAATGGGCTAAGGATGGCCCAATAATTTATCTCAATTAATCAGTCTTTCATCAAATAACTCTTGCAATGCAGGAATACACAGTGACTGTGTTCTGAACTTCTTCCTATTCATTCAGAAGAACAAAGTCTAAATAATAATAAAAGATTAGTTCCACATCACAAAAATGTGCATCTTTAAGAGTACTATCTTCTGGGATGTAGCCACACATATCCCACATGACAGTGAGGCCAGAGCTTATTTAAGATTTCATCACCTAGGCCAGCTTTTTTATGGAATCAAGTGACTACTATGATGCCCCCATAAACAAAGTTCTACATTTCATTCAAAGTGTAGGATTGATAAAAGGTTAACAAAAATTGGGAAGCACAGTACATCATTAAAGGTTTATGTGTAAGGGCCAGGTTATTATGGTCCGCCCCTTAAGCATTCATTCATTCATTCATTCATTCATTCTGGGATGTCTGGTACCGTAGTACGACAAGAGTTCACTGATGTTTCAGAACATACTGCCTCCATCTTCAGGATTAAAATGTGAGCCAAACAAACAGCCAGCAGGAAGAAGTAGCCTGTGCTTGCCAGCTCAGTCTTGCTCATTACTTCCCTGGCACCCTTCAATCTTGAAGATGAAAGCATGGCATCCTTCTGAAATGTCATGCTTTCTCCAAGCTACACAGTGTCATATCCAAGAAGACGGTACTAGAATCTCAGATACAACACACTGCAGCCACAATAAAAAGATTATTACGTTACAGCTACTTAGGGAAAGGATCATTGTTTAATCATGGAATTGTACTGAACACCTAAGAACAAAATGTAAAAAATGAACTATATACACGATTCTTTCATGCTGTGGTAGGCGGTATATACAGTTACCACTCTGCTCTGGAGGGTTAAATCATTCGGCTAATAGATGCTGCATGTATTACAGTGACGGCTCACATTGCTACAGCATGACATTAAACCCCATGGTAATTAGGTTAAAGAGTACACCACATTAACACACCTATAATCACTGGGTAGTGAAGTTCGCAATTCCATATCCAAACCCGGCTCTGTCAAGTTCAGCGAATAAATTTCAAGTGCTGCTGTTGTACTAAACGATGCATCCAACTGCTGCGCTGCCGTTCCTGCTGCTAGCAAAATTGGGTGCTGGGCAGCAGGAGACCAGGACACGTTTACAGTCCTTTCTATCTCCTTTACCTTCATTTTGCCGCTTACTGAATCTGTAAAACGAGGACACTACATTTATTCTGTTTCAATAGAAGCTGTTAAAAAAAAACTGGTACCTAAAGGACTAAAATGAACTCGTCATAATATCATTAAACATGTTTAGCAGTTACATTACCACACAACACATAAATCAGTCATTCAACATAAAATAATAATTTAACTTTTGTACTACATACTGCATAGAAAGCAGCACCAATTTATGATTTATGAAGGTTCTTGCCCTGTTACGTCTAAAGACAATCAAAATTCGAAACGCATAAAAATACACTGCATAATTAAATCAGCGTTACACGTTTACGCTCGCAAATTATTATTAAAGTGCAATAAAAGCTACTTACTTAATACACGTCTAAAAACACACACCAACTCATCAAAATTATTCTCAAATCCACTGCCTTCACGCAGTACTTCCAACGTGGCGATCGTGGCGATTGTGGTTCACTGTACTAGTGACATCTATTGTTGAGATACACAGTTACCAAATGAGAAACGAGGTGCAAAATGGATTTGTATAAGCAATTGATGATTTAATAAGGAGTCAGCTGTTTATGTGGAAGAGTATTGAAATAAAGAATACAGCTGTCTAAACTGCCTTTAAAATGGTATAATATATACATAACCAATGATATAAGGGATATGATGGTTGAGGAAACATTGAATTCGGTGAACAAACCTAAGGTGAGCGAAATGTTCCTTACCAAATGGCGCTTCGTGATGATTGTAGTATTGTCATATGCTGCTGTAAAATGTCAACATATTTTTTTTTTTCTTTTCAGAATAAAACAGCTCGTCCTAGACCTGTGTATCTCTGGACTGTTGTTGATGTTCAGAAATGGCTGAGACGCCATTGCAGTGACTATTATCCCCTATACTGGGAAAAGTTTCAGCAGGTAATATGCAAATATTTAAAGTATTCAGTAATGTGAATATTAAGTGTTATAGTCTTCTAGTTTATGACACCGTATAGTTTGAGCAACCAATATTTCTGTGGAATGTACTGCCTCCATCTTTACAATAGAAGTGTGGGAACTGCCCACATTCAAGCACAGTATACAGGGGCAAACTTGAGTTTGAAGAATTGAAGAATAATAATAACAATAGTGAACTCACTGAACTAGAATTGCAGAACTGTAGAAATCTAGAATTGTAACTGTAACTTCCAGAGTCAGAGTCAAAGTTACATTGCGACTGATGGTCAGTCAGTCAGTAAGTCTTGGTGTCGAGCTCATGACCACATATTAATTATTATCGTTTGACAGTTACGGTCTTGTTTCTGTGGGGCGCCTTCTCTGACGAGAGGACGGGTCTGTCTTTTGTATATGCTGCTGGCTCTTGCCAGCGCAGTTTTTCTC